GGCTGTTCGCTCCTGGGCACTCTATTCCAGCCTCCACCTTATAACATAGCCACCAGTCACTGGCCCCAACTCTCTCTCAGGCCCCTTACAGGATACTTCCTATCAGGTGGCTAATTCCAACCACTGTCATATCAGAATGCCAGTGAACTGACCCCTTACTGTCTTGTAGGTGGTCTCTCCCATGAGACACCTTTGCTTCCTTGAGCCTGGCCCCACTCTCCAGCCAGTCGGGGTGCCAGGGCCTCCGCAGCACTAGCTGACCCCTCGTGGTGGGCACATATGCCCTTTGGCCATTCCTGGGACTTTGGCCACTTCTGGGCCCAAGGAAAGTAGAGCTTGGGCCAGTGGAGAGCCCTGGGATCAGTCTATAAGCAGCTGACTCTATAGGGGTCTTCCCTGGGTCCCTCCATAAATTGGTCCTCTCACACCAGGCTTGCTTAGAGCCCCACAGATTTTAGGCAAAGCAGCCCTTTATTTCACTGGGCTTATTTGAGTCCTTGCAGAGACCCCTCCAAGGTCAGCTGCACTCCCTGGGTTTCCCCAGGCCTTTCGTCGGTAGCCCGTGCTCTCATCAGTTCTAATCAGGGCTTACCTAGCCGCTCTGTAGGCCCCCATATTCTAAGCCCCTTCTATTCAGGCTGGCCTGTGCCTTCACTGGGCTCTTGCCTAGCTGGCTTCTCTCGATAGGTCATCTTGGCCCCTCACTCTAGGCTGGCCTTCCCACAGCCACAGGCTTTCAGCCTCCTCCTAAGGGCTCTGGACCCCCAGTGTCTCTAGGAAGCTCCTCCTTCCCCCTAGCTCCTCCCTAACCTCCAGGATGTTCCAGGAGCAGCAGATCTCCAGCTGGGTGATGTTACTTCAGTGGCATCCCTGCAGCAACTGCCGGCTTTCCTGTCAGGGGCTTGCCTTATACCCAGGCTACCCTGCCCTCCACCAATCAGGCAGCCTCCTGGGTGCCACATGACCACCTGATTGGGTCTGCTCCCACCTGCAGGCTGGTCTGTAGCCGGCTCAAGCCCTTAAATTGGCAGGCACCCAAAGGTGCACTGCCATAATCGCTTTTTGTAGTGTCATCCTGAGCAGTAGTTTATGCAACGACTGACCACATTTTATCTGCCATGAAAATCATTCTTCTGACCAGATTAGCATGAACTATGCTGGACTCTGGAACCTGGTCATTCTATATTGTCATAGGTTCTGGATACTGTATCTGCTGTGACTAAATGTTTTCTTGGTGTATATTCTATATTTGAAATATATGAGGGTCAGTCAGAACATAATGCCTCCTATTTTTTTCCTCAGTCGAATATTATTGTAAAATTATTAAACTTGTACCAAAAAATTGTACCTCACTGCTGAACATACAGCTATATTTTAGTCTCCTTCTCCATCACTGATCTTTTTTCCACTGGTGAGCAAAGACGTGTATCCTGACATTGTACCAGGTTTTGTCCTTGCTGCATAGCTGCTGTCACAGACTCCATCACTTTGCTTTCACCCCAAAAATGTCACCCTCATAGTCCATCATTCATCTCCTAGGATGTACAGAGGATGGGGCAGCACAGTCCATCCAGACAATCAGATTGCTTCTGTGGGGTGCAAGCTGGTGTGTGGGCAAGTGTTGTGCAGAAGCAGCACCTCAGGCATGTCTTTGTCATGCCGTGTCACCTCAAACTCTTTGCATGGAACGTTTCAGTTCCTTCAGGGTCCTGGCATAAACCTTTGAGTTTACTATGGCCCCCAGGCAAGAAATCAAGAGGAAGACCCTCCATGTTGGTGGCATGCTTAGAAGATAGAAATTAGGAGGCATTACTTTCCAACTGACCTTTTGGTACAGTGGGGGCCAACCTTTTTGGCAAGCATGCCACAACTTAAGCCCCATGCTCTCCCGAGTGCCACTTCAATCCCATTTCCCTGCCCCATCTGCTGCTCTCCTTTATGCTCCCTGCTTGATCGGATGCTCTGCTTTCTGCTCCATGCCCTATCTGCTGCTGTGCTGTTTGCCCCCTCCCTGATCTGACACACAAAGGCTGTATGTGCCATTTGTGCAGTCTGGCATTTGTAATTTTAGAAGTTTGGCAAAGTATAATTGGTCACTCCAAAGTGAGTATGGTATTTTCTAGCAATCAGGAATCATAGTAGAGATGATATATTTTATTAGACTGACAAGATTTTTGCAAAAAAAAATTCTTTAATTGCAAGCTTTCAGGGACAAACACCCTTCATCAGGCATTGGAGAAAAGGTTGTAAAAGTTCTCCTGGGTAGAAATGAAAGTTCATATTTCATAAGATTTCACAGAGGATTCAATAGATGGAAAACTATTTTCTAGCAAGCTTTTCTTAAGCTTTGTATTTGGTCTTTTATAAAGGACTCTGTTAACTCTCCAAAATTGCAAGTCTGACTCAGCAGTCAGTAACACACTCCTCAACTGTCTCATGCTCTCTCCTTTGTCCTATGAAAGTTAAATTTTTCTAAGCTTTCATTTTGTTTTGGTATGCTGTACTCCTCAACCTTTTTTAGTCCTGTCTCATAGTTATTCTTTTCTGTTACTGATAGTTGCAAACTGTTGTAAACAGAGCTTCCTGCCCTGGTAGATTAAAAAAGATATCTACCTTGATGGAGTCTTTTTCTATGGCTCTATTAGTGAACATATAGATGCTAAAGCTTTTTGAACTTCTAAGTTTGTGCTACATTGCTGGATAGTCTTAGCCACTCTAGAAGTTACAAATACAGTACTCCATTTCTTCCCTGCTTGGCCAGTGCATAGCCCAGTGCAGATACTCAGTAGCCACATAGATATTTATGCATCTGTGTTGTATGGTAGGCCTGTGCAAAGCGACTAGTATTCACGTCGGATTTGGCCAATTTGGGGGACAGTGATTTGATTTGGTGATTTGAATCACTGTCCCGATTTGATTTGGTCGAATTTAATTCGGAGATTCAGCTGCTGCCGAATCTCTGGATCAGCCAGGCCCACCTCCCACCCCTCTCCCAGCCCAGCAATGGCTGCCCCAGCTCCCAGCACTTGTTTAAAAAAAAAGCCATGGTGTTCACCTGGTGCTGCCGGGTGGGGGGCAATCCCTGCTGTCCCCCACTGCCCCATGCTGTGGGGGGGGCTGTGCATGAGCCCCCTGATCCCCCCCTCAATCCCCCATGGGTGCCCTACCCAGGCCAGCTCCAGCCCTTTAAGAAACAAGAACCCAAGACCCCCCCTGCACGGTGGGGGCCTCTGCACAAGCCCCTGAAGCCCCGAGGCTGCTGCAGGAGCGGTGAGTCCCCAGGGTTTACTTGGGTTTTTTTTCTTAAAGGGCTGGAGCTGGTTTGGGTGGGGCACCTGTAGTGGGGCTGGA